CTCCTCTCTCCTTGCCAGTTGCCTGTCCTGGGTTTACCCAAATGCAGGGTCTCAAGATTATCTAGAAAGAAATAGGAGTTTATCTTCCAGCTGGGGTTTTTCAGCCGGTTAAGGATGTAAGACTGGAGCAGAGCAGAGTGACCCTGTCAGGGACCTGAGGGGTCCTCAACAGAATCATTGTCTCCCCTTAGTGACCTCTGGCTAGAATAGCAGCGGCTACTACAGACTGAAAGCCCCACTGTTAGCAAGGCCTGCGCCATGACACGTCTTAACAAGCATGACTCTAATAGCCCTGCTAGATCTCTAGACAGGCCAAACTTCTCTGCCTCACACTTGTGGACAGTGAGGCGCAGAGAGGCAAAGTCACCTGACCAGAGTTAACCAGCTAAAAAAGAGACTACTACATTTGAACAAGTGCACAGTGCCCTCCATAGAAGTTGGCTCCCATTCCAAGTGGTTGATCATGCTGATGGTGTGTGTGTGTGTGTGTGTGTGTGTGTGTGTCTGTCTGTCTGTCTGTCTGTCTGTGTGTCTGTGTCTATCTGTCCACATGCACATGCATCTATGGTATCTTCGCCCTCAAGTCCCCAAACCCTGCACACCTCCCATCATTACCCAAGCCCAATCATGGCCTGGCTTGTCTGTGGGAACTCCAAATGCTTTCTGAAGTCACCTTCTTGTGACTAGAAACCTTCTTGAAATCTCCCTCTTGAAAGATAGAGGTTTACATGTCAAGAGCCAGGTTGTCCGTGGTCTGGGCTCCTAAGCCAGGGCTGTGACCATGAAGACCATGATTGCAGTTGGTGGTTTATGTAACATTGTATTTTGGACCCCTCTCAGTGTCAGTGTGGAATAGAAAAGGCGAGTGTTCTCATTTCTATCTTACAGATGGGTACATCGAGATTTGAGGGTACTAAGTGATTTGTCCAAGGTCACACACTATTCAGGGGTAGGAGGAACACGAGAACCCTGACCCTCTGATTGCTGCTCATTCATTCCAAGGCTCTGAGAAAGAAGATATCATTTTTACTTTACTAATGCCTTCTTTTTCCGATGTAGGAGGATGGCTCTGGAGACCTGGCCTGCCATACCCTGACAGGACATCTTTAAGCTGAGCTGCTCTTTCCACTCTCTCCATAGGGAATCAACTCAAAACCTCTGAAGCACAAAGGCTGAACCCATTTTCCAGGACAAGTGAAAGAGAAGAGAAGGAGGCCCCGGAGCCTTCCTTAAGAGACTGAGAGTGTTGGGCAGCCTCAGCGCTGTGGACAAGCTCCAACTGCTGCCTTGACTTGGCTAGGGAGGCAGAATCGCCATCAGCTTGGGTGAGCACAAGCATGGCTGGATATAGAACATCGGCATTTCTGTAGAGAACAGACTCATGTACACTCCAGAAGGGAACTTGTCAAGTCTCAGGGCCATAAAGGTAGAGGGGTTTTAGACTTATTTTTTCCCACCTTTAAGCCAGTATAGTATTCCAGAACATTTGGACCTCCCCCCCCCCCAATTAATTTATATGGATTCCCCAACCAGGTGATTAGCCTTTGCAAATACTCTGCTTTAGGTTTTGTGGGAAGAGAGAGCCAGCAGAGTCTGAAGAGGGATGTCCCCCTCTGTGGAGATGGGCCATTCTGCCAGCGTTCCTTGGGCCCTATGAAGCCACACAGGCACAGCAACCAGCAGGAGGAAGAAGAGAGCTTGAGAGGAGGAGAGAGAGGCTCTCCGGACAGGGGCCCTTTAAATGAGATCATTTCGTATGCATGGAACTAGCTCTGAGGCCACAGGGCCTGCAGGAGAGTGACCCCCACTCTCTTGCCACAGGTCACTCTCCAAAGAAGTTGCAGGGAGGGGCACACTGCTTGGTTTCATGCCAGGCTGCCCTGGGTCCACGTGCCAAGAGCAATTAGCCAGGGGGAGGATGACTCCTGTGGCGTGGCAGAGGCCATGCTGCAGCTGGGCAGAGGGGCCCAGCCAGCCCAGGTCTCCAGGGGCTTCTTCAGGAGCTGAAGACTAAAAATAACCCAGGCCTTTGTTGCTAGCTGCTGGACCACAGCGATGGAGCTGATTCCAGGGAAGCCGAGCATGCGCAGGGTCCTGCTCACAGAGACCTGCCCTTTGGGCAAATGATTTTTCCAGAAATGTGTCAGTCATCATGCTGCTGCTGTGATTCAAGGACAGCCCAGCCCACTCCAGCCCTCGAGGCTTCTCCTCTGAGTTCTCGGAATCTAGGCCCCCCCTACATGTTTCTTCTAGAAACTTTGCTTCAAACGAGAGCCCATCCCATCTGGGGGAAACCAGGGTGCAAGAACAGACTAGGGTTCTGAATCATTGCCACCCAGTCACGAGTAATCACCGTGCCCAATGATCTGGTTAAGTAACGTTCATCTTTCCTCCGTTCTAAAATTTCCAGTCACATCTCAGTGGTCACTGGCAAACATATACTACATGGAAGGAAGAAATGGCCCAGAAAAGAAATCCAAAGTGTAGCATCAATACTGGAGGGTTTCTCAAAGCTACGTACAGTCTCTTCTATCCAACACTGAATTACTGAATGGGCAGCCTTTGCCCACCTCTCCAGAGCTTGAGTCCCACCCCCAGAGACTGAGCCAGACCTTCACGCTCAGTTCAGTTGGGAGCAGGATCTTCAACACTTTCCTGTGTTTAGAGACTGTGTCGTCTCACCTCAAGGACACCACAGTTCTGAAGGTCAAGGAACCACCTGGTCCCTCACAAAGTCCCTCTTGAGGAACAGCAAATACTGAATGGTTATAGCAGGGGCCCCAAGTTTTCCTTCCGTCTCCCAGGCCCTCTGAACCCCTCATCAAGTGGCTGTGCAATGGATCAAGGCCATCGCAGCTGTGGATGCTATCGCTGAGGCTCAAAACCTACAATTCCTCTTCTTAGCAGAGACTAAGGAAACCAAGATGTTCCCAAGTTCCGTCTTCAAGATGGCCTCCAAACATGGATGTTTCCAGTGAGGCTAGTAAATAAGCGAGAGCTTGGCCACAGCATTTGGTTCCTCTGTGAGAGTTTTAGGGTGAAGAGCCCAAGCTGAGGGTGAGGACGCTGTGTGACAAGTTCTTGAAAAACAATAGAAAAACAAAACAAGAACCACACCACACAACACGAGTGGTTGATGAGCAGTCACAAGATGGCTTCCTCTAAAATGGGAAGCAACGAAAGGGATGCCTGTGAGGGTGAACACGAGGAAGGTTCCACAGAGCTGGGGCTGGATTGTTCTTCAAACGTGCCATGTTCACGCTGGTAGAAATGAGGAAGTGCTGGCTGACGTATGCGTGGGGCCGGAGGTCACGGGTAGGGTGAGAGGTGAATGGACCCCTTGCTCCCTCCGTTCCCTTCTGTAACGATTCGTTTTCCTTGCAGTTGGTCTGTGTGCATACACAGGAGGAGACCTCCATCTGGGTTGAACAGGGCTTCAGTTCAGCCTCTCTAGTGGCAGGCTGCATTCTATGACCTGGGGCCCTAGGCCTGGCAGCCAAAGGCCGAGGCTTTCTCTTTGAGCAACTCCCAGCATAAATGGCAGCTCCAGCTTCCTGTAAGAGACAAAATAGCATCAGTAGCAGCGTTCCTCCAAACTCTTGGGCCCCAGCCTAATCGCCTCAATGTCTGGGAACTCCTAGTTTCTTTGACTTTTATAATTCAGAGACCAAGTCTCTGTCCTGAAGGCGTGCAAAGTCAATCGCTTAGTGAAAAGGCGATGCAGAGCTACCAGAGCAATTGTTATAAAAAGCCTCGCCCCTTAGTTGCACCCCGATAGTGAACCTGTACTAGTTCCCTTGGTGCTCACCCCACCCCCCACCCCGATGTCACAGCCACACATCTGAGAAACGTGTCTTTGACCCATTGAAATTTCATCTGGTTGCACTGTGCCTCAGTTTCCTCGTGTGCCCTTTGTTAGTAGTCAGTCCCACCTCATTGGGTAGTGATAATTATATGAGACAAAATTCAAAAAGCCCTTAGCACAAGGTCTGCACCATAATAAAGGATCAATAAAACATGGGTGTGGTAGCTGTTGTTGTTGTTGTTGTTGTTGTTGAGTTATCATCATTACCTTCTGGGGGCTCAGCCACCGGGGGATTTAAACAGTACATGTGATAACCACGGTCACAGTCATCACAGAAGAGTAGCTGGTCCTGGCAGATACAGAGAGGAGGAGAGAGATGCAATTACTTGAGAACAGTGCCTTCCTCCCACTTATTCCTCTCTCTTACTCCATAGATCAACTTTCCAGGCCCCGTTTGGGGTCCTCACTGTCCCTTAAACACAGCTGTACTTTATTGACACCTAAAATTCACCCTCTGCCTCTCCAAATCCCTCGCCACCTTTGGGCTTGTCTTAGTTATGGTTTCTATTACTATGATGAAACACCATGACCAAAAAGCAAGTTTGGGGTGGAGGAAGGGTTTATTCAGCTTACACTTCCACATTGATGTTCATTGCTGAAGGAAGTCAGGACAGGAACTCACACAGGGAAGGAACCTGGAGGCAGTAGCTGATGCAGAGGCCATGGAGGGGTGCTGTTTACTGGCTTGCTCAGCCTGCTTTCTTATAGAACCCAGGACCATCAGCGCAGGAATGGCACCACCCACAATGGGCTGGGCCCTCCCCCATTGATCACTAATAGAGAAAATGCCTTACAGCTGGATCTCATGAAGGCATTTCCTCAAGGGAGGCTTTCTTTCTCTCTGATGACTCTAGCTTGCTTCAAGTTGACACACAAAACCATCCAGTACAGGGCCCTTCTCAACTCATTTTCTTTGAAGTCTTCCCTGATGGCTACCTTACACTCAAACTCACAGAGATTCCTTGTCCTGAACTCCTATGACCAGTAATGTTATGGCTTTCTCTGCCTCCACCCCCACAATATGACAATAGCCTAACACATGGATTGAATTTCTACTTGTCCATCTGTGCAATGGACAACAGCTATACTTGGTGGAGGCGTCTGTGGCATTTCAGAATTCCATCAGGCTTTAAATGTAGGTGTTAAGAAAAGCCCCCTCCCTGGCTAGGGGCTGGAGCCTGAGGGGTGGAGAAGGAGGAATATATTGGTTGGTTCTAGAAGTAGAAGATAGTCACACAGGTGAAGGGTGGTGACAGCCTGAAGTAAGGCTGTGGCAGTGAAATGAGGAAATAGTCACCACTTGGGGTGGATGTCTGGGTTGTGGCATAGTTAGCCACTGGGGCATGGGCAGGAAAGTGGCCATGGGAGCTGGAGAGAGAGGACAGCCTCAACTATAGATCCAAGGTCACCAGGGAGGGTTGACCTGGATACTGGAGATCAGGACAGAGTCCCAGGCCTGAGTTATGGCTTTGGAAGTTCATACTGATTTGATAGCAAGTGGAGGTCCTAGGAGAGGAAGTTCAGCGTGTGTGACAGCAGACGTCTCTGAAATGGTGTTCGAGGAGGGCTGTCCGTGAGATGCTACGCACAACTGGGTTGATGGGTAGAAATGTATATTTTGAGAAAATGTGTATTTCTGAAAATAGAGTGAATCCATGGCTTTCACTGAAGATCAATGACCTCGAGGAAAGTCAAGAACACACTGTCACATCAGCATTAAGGGACTAAAGAGACCAAAAGAAGCCCAGTCAGGGAAGGGAGTGAAAACTAGCATACTAGCTTGACTCCCAGAAGGTACACCATGGCTTCAAAGCCAACGGAAGTGGTGGAATGAAATGATTGTGGAGTGATATGATTTGATTGTGGCACAAAGACAAGTGACTTTAGTAGTGATGTCCCTGCCATAGCATTCACACAGGTTACAAAAAGGAAGAACACCTTAGACTGGACTCCCTGCCCCCACCCCCAAAGAATTCAAGTGTATGAGGGTGCAAACACGTTTGTCACATGTAGTTGTCTGGCACTGCTGTTCCTTCTTTCCTGTCTCCTTTTCAGAGAAAGGTTCTCTCATGCTAACTCCCAGATAAAGTTCAATCTTAAAGGAGCTCTAACTCCCATACCTAAGAAGCTGTATCCATGGAAGGCTCCAGTGCTGATGGGTAGGAATCTCATTCTGGGATCTCCAGGAGATGCGTAAGAAAATCCCCAATGTCCCAGCAACAATCCTACTCTTGAATGGACTCCCACTAAGGCTCTGTGTTAACACTCTCAAGACGACCAACCAAAGTCTAGACGAAATCCGAACACTAGCCAGAAAGAGACTAGCTGAATAAAACAAAGAACCATGAAACCGTAGAAAGTATGGCTGTAGATCACTGTGGAAGGACTTCTGGGATAGTCAATGGAAAAAATTCAGAATGGAGAAAACATACCTACCTCTTACCATTTGGTTGTGGATTCAGTATACAATATGCATGCTTACATTTAAATGAAATGTAAAGACAACCTTCATAATTTTAAGTGGTCATATGTTAGCAAATCAGGAAATGGAAGTTAGACTTTCCTGGATACATCATTCTTTCTAGCTTTGTTTGTAGAACTATTTTATATAGTCGCAAAACAAAATTAAAATCTTACTCTGCTCTTAAAAGTGAATTTGCCATAAGTGAATATATTTGTATATCTATCTAATGACACAACTACAAATAGCAAGTATTTTGGGTGACTACTTATCTTTTTTATATTGGTTTTCATTTGGTTCAGGGTCTTGCTGTATAGCCTAGTCTGGCTTTGACCTCTATTTCTGCCCCTACCTCCAGAGAATCCAGCTAATACGTGATCTTAACAACAAAGATAAGTGTGTGTGTGTGCATGCGTGTATGTTTCAGCAATTATATTATTGATGATAATATTGGAACTGGTCATCTGCGATAGCTTGCTGTATGTGTATCAGATGTGTGATGGTGATGGTATCCACTGAGAAGCAAAACGTTTCACATGACTGAAGGAAGGCAGAGACATGAGATCAGAAGAAAATTAATAGAAAAACTGCACAACAATAGAAATAGTTCAATAAATAAATGTTGTGCTTTATCTTTTAAATAAACAAAAATAAGTTCTTGCTCTGCCACTGGAAATGTCTGAAAAAATGACCAACACTGTAAACATCAGCCCTCTAGACCAGCAGTCTTTGGGAGGTTTATACTATCACATGAAGTGTACAGATATCTTTCTTTGTCCAAAAGCAAGGAAGCTACCAAGAGCTCTCATGATCATGTCGAAAGGGCTTAGGCTCCAGCCTGAATGTACCCACAGACTGAAGAGAATTTTACTGCAATGGATGGAAACAAAATATGTTTAAGTTCTTCAGCTGATAAAGGGAGTATTTTTAAGACTGAGGAAGATGTTAGGAAAATTGGACATTTTTATTTACTTTGATACCATTGTAGACTTAGAGGAAAGTTGCAGACATGACAGTTTCTCTACTTTCTATGTAGCTTTTGCAAACAGTAACATCTTACACATTGCTGGTAAGTGTTGCTAACAAGTCTACAGAGAAGGCTCTAGTTTCCTCCGTCTTCTCCTTTGCTTCCTCTTTCCCAGGATCCTATACAGCACTTACTCTCTTGTTTTGTGGGGGTGGGGTCAGTTTGCTACTTTGTTCTTTTACCTATTTATTGTTGGGGGTAGGGTACATACTCTAGCACCCCTGTGGAAGTCAGAGGACAACTCATTGGAGTCAGTTTTCTCTTTCCACATGTGGGTACTAGAGATCAAACTCCTGTCCTTCAGCTTGGGGGTAACTGCCTTTACTCACAGAGCTATCTCACAGACCTTTGTATTTGAGGGACAGGGTTTCATATAGCCCAGGATGACCTCAAAATCACCATGTAACCAAAGACAACCTTGAACTCCTGGCCCTTCTCTTCTACCTCCAAATGCTAGGATTACAGGTGTGAGCTACCACCAGTAGCTCACACAGCACCGGAGACAGAACTCAAGGCTCCACGGCTGGTGCACAAACACTCAGCCAAGTCCAGCTATGTCCCAACTTGTGTTTACTTGTCTTTTCTTTGTGTCTCTCAATCTGTGATAGTTCCAATTTATCTTTCATTACCTTGACAAATTTTAATTAATAAATTGCATTTGTTGGCGATTTCATACATGTTTATCACATATTCTGGTTGGGTTCCCCCACAACCTCTCTCTTATTTCTCTCCCACCCTCACCGGTAAGAATTCCCACTCTATCTTACAAATCTCTTTCTCCCATATTCATAACGTTTTGTTTTGTGTCTCACACAGTTTAACTGGGGCATCTGTGTGACCCTAGCTTTGAAACTATCCATTAGAGTCTGGTGGGCCCATCAGTCAGCACACAAGTGGATACTACTCAACCCTCCAATCACATTATTTGCTAGTTGCCCATATTGCAACAGTGGCCGAGTCCTATGAATCCCTTTCCATCTGTAGCTGACTGCCAGAAAGGTCTGACTTGTGATGACCCAGGGCCAGTACACAGCGGCGAAGTGTTCATGGCTTCCATGATATGACCTACTTAGAGGATAGCATGCCAGAGACGTCATCTTTGGTGCTTACATTCTTTCTACAGTGTTCCCTGATCCTGAAGAGGGCACTGTAAATGTTTTCTCTCGGGCTTTATATTCTCAGCATCTTGTGGCACCCAGAGTCTGAATACACCCCTGTCCACTAAAAGTTGACACTTCTCTGAGGCTGAGGGAAGCCTTCATAGACACTCAGGGGCTGTTTATGCTGTCAGGAACATGATGCTTTTGATGGGTCTGGTTGAGGATTTTATAAACATCACTGGATGCTTTGGGCTAGATTTTCTTTTTCCCTGTATGAAGACTAAGGTGATAACTGTGAGTGAAGTTACTAATTTTCCTTTGGTACTACACAATCGGAGACATATCTTGAGTTTGTGCAAATATCCGGTTTATGAAATATTATGTTTCACATAATTTCACTCAATACATTTTAAAAAATGTAATGTCATGGTTCTTGCCTAACTGCAGGCTCGCCTCTGGTTTATCCTTTTGTATTTATTCACTAGAACACTACCCTAAGGAAGTATGTTCTCTTCTTATCCCTCCATCCCTCCCTCCGTCCCTCTGTCCCTCCCTCTGCCCCTCCCTCCCTCCCTCCCTCCCTTCTTCCCTCCCTCTCTTCCTTTATCCATCCTACCAACTTCATACTATAAGAATGGATATTTGTGTATTCTTTACATGACAGGACAACAGTCTAATCGTTTTCTTTCTCAGTTGTTCCTGTTCATCCATTAAGTGCTCCTTCAGGCTGGTTCTTTTTCCTTTACACACTCTACTACTTTTTTTTTTCTTAGCACAACCCTACTTCCTGACATCACAAGATATTCCAGGCATGTCCTGTGACGTTGGTACCTGAGCCCTGGCACCGGTCATTTCTCTAAGGCTCTCTGGCTCTCTTTACTAGAGAATGCTACTTAGAACCGACCTCTGGGAGTTGGGTGTCCTCATTATTTCTAGGTCCTTACTAGGTCTGAAGAGGGGCAATGTCATCTTTGTCAATGACAAAGGTCTATGTAAGCTTGGTGCCCAGGGCAACGGTGTTGGGGAAGTGTCAGAGGCCTCAAGGAGGTGGGGCCTAGTAGCAAGGCTTTAAGTCACTGCAGATATACTTTGAAAGGGACTGTGGAACCTGAGTCTTCACTCTCATTCATAGTCTCCCCTCCCCCTCCCCTTCCATCCCTTCCTCTTCCTTTTCTCTTTTGTTATATGACTGCCTTTTTCCCTGTTACATGCATGTCTTGTTAAGTATCCTCACCAAAACCCAAAGTAACTTGGCCGCTTGATTTTGAACTGAAACCTTTATAACCTCCAAAACCATGAGTTAGATAATTCCTTTCTCTTTACAAATTGTCTTAGGTACGTTGCTGTAGTAATGAGAAGCTGACTAACTTTGCCAACAGATCTAGGAAATAAATGTATGCATAGGGGCATATGAATACATCCATATCAAGGTCTATATTTATAAACAAAGATACTTGCTATATTAAAAACCATGAGTACACACACACTCACACACACACACACACGCCTAAAGTCACAGGCTTCAGGCTTGTCCCCTACTGTTTTATGTTATTCTTTTTTTTCCACTTTCCATCTTATTTTTAAAATTTATTTATTTATTTACTTTACATCACAGTATCAGCACCCCCTCTCTTCGAAGTAACCCGCCATACAGATCTTCCTCCCATTCCCTCTACCCCTCCTCAACTCCAGCTAATCAAGTCACTGCAGGACTAGGCTCGTCCTCTCCCACTGAGGCCAGACACGGTGGTCCAGTTAGGGGAATGGAACCCACAGGCAACAGATTCAGGGATAGCTCCTGCTCCAGTTATCGGGGGACCTGTCTGAAGACCAAGCTGCACATCTGCCACATATGTGCAGAGGGTCTAGTCTCTGGGAGTCCCCAAGGGTCCAGTTAGTTGTTTCTGTTGGTCTTTCTGTGAAGTCTCTATCCTCTTCAGGTCCCTCAATCCTTCCCTCAGCTCTTCTGTAAGACTCCCTGAACTCCATCTAATGCTGAGCTGTGGGTCTGGGTCTCTTCCCATTACTCTGGCTTTTAGATCCATGACTCTCATCACAACAGTCAGTTACTCACTTAGACGTAATACATATGAAGTCGTTTCAGAATTACTAATCCCTATATCCATGAAAATAAATTTCTTAGCTAGCACACAGCATTGGTCATGCAGCTGTGTCTGTCTTTAGTCTTACAGTGCAGTCAAAAGACCATTTTCCCAGACAACTTAGGCTGACTATTCTCCCCGCTCCTCCGTCTGGTCATGCTATCTGCTTGTTGTATAGCTGGATTCATTGATTACTGTTTAGTTTCCCTAGCCTTCTGGTTAGCATCAAACATGTATCAGTTTATGGCTTTCTCTTGATCCAATCTATCTAAAATGAGCATTCCCAAGGCCGTGCTGGTCCTCCTGTAGCCCCACCCATTCCTACATCACGTCTCTCTCCTCCCCATTTCCATCAACCCCTGAAGATAACCACCCTGTCACCTCCTTGTTTATTCTTTTACATAAGTGTGCACAGATATATGTATGTTTCCTTATATAGCATTTTCCTTACAATAAACGCAGCCTACCATCAGTAGATGTTGGTTTAACTTTCTTTGGTTTATGGAACTTATCACACATCCATGCATAACTATCCTCCTCATTCTTTATACAGCTGCATTGTACTTCATTGTTCAACCAATTAATTAGTAATTAAGCTAATGCCTTAGCTGATCATTTTTCTACTATGTGCATGGAGGTTATTTCTGATATTTTTAATTAATAAGTCACCTCACACACATCTATTTCTGTAGTGGGACTTACCCCTCAGGGTAGATTCCCACAGATGGGATGGCTCAGTCAAAATTAACTGTGCAATAGTTTTGTTAGAGATTACCAAATCCTTCACCCCAGAAGGGCTGTACGCACCCTCTAGTGCTAGATGCTGGAACCGATTATCCCATAGCTTTACAAATTGTTACACTTGAAAACTTTTGTCTGTCAGATAGGCGAGAAACAGGATCTTGGTTTTGTTTTGAGTCTCTTTCACTGTGAGTGTTTATTTAAGTATTTATTTCAAGGCTTAGGGCTCATTCTTCTATTGTTTATGAATCATCTTCCATGCACGTTTCTCCTTGTCTATCAAGTTCCTGCTTCTCTGTCTCCCATTCATCAGAGCTCTTCCTATCCTGGGACCACTGGACCTTCGTCTGTAGCCGTTACAGATACATCCGCCCAGCTTGTCAGTCATCCTTTGACTGTGTCATGGTTTTGACTATGCAAATTTTCATGGAGTCTAATTTCTCATTATTTCATTTTATTGCGTCTCTGTTTTGAGTCAACTGGAAAACCTTTCCCAGTGTTGAAATGAAAGAAGAATCTGGTACTGCTCTGGTCTTACTTTTTACATTGAAATTCTTATGTCTGGTGTGAGGTATGAAGCTAATTTTGTCTTTTCCCCAATGGCTCCCCTATTGTCCCAGCATCATTCATTAAAAAGTCTATCTTTGACATGGCAATTTTAGATGCAGCCTTTATCCTGTACCATATTCCCTTATGTAGGTGGGCCTATTCATAGGTTTTCTATTTTCTTCCAACTGAACTATTTGTCCATTCACACATCACTACCACACTGTTCCACTCTGGGGGCTCCCCAAAGGGTTTAATGTCTGCTGGTTCCTGTTTTCAGCACAGTTTATCAGAATTTCCTTGGCTATTTTCTTTTTTAAATCAGGGTTTTATGTAGTCCAGGCTGGCCCAAAGTTCACTGTGTAGGCAAGGGTGACGTTGAACTTTTGATCCTCCTGCTTCTACCTCCCAAACGCTGTGATCACAGGCATACACTACTCTGCCTGGCTTCTACTGAACTGAAGATTGAACTCAGGACTTCTTGCATACTATCAACTACTTTATAGCCTAGATAAAACCTTGGCCCTTCCTCTGCTATCTGAACCTTCTCCTCCACCTTCCTCTTCTTCCTCTTCTTCTTCTTCCATAGGGATGTAAGTATTACCTTTGCCTAACTCCACAAGGCAAACTTGTTAATATTGTTGTTGCTTCTGGTGTCCATTTGCAAATTGACACAGGCATAACTGATGTCTCTGCAGTACTGAATCATTTCATATCATAGGACATCATTCCACCTGACCTTTGTGGTTTCGCACGTAGTTAAATTTAGTTTTTACTTTTGTAAGATTTATTTTTAATTATGTATATGTCTATCTGTCTGACTGTCTATGTGTGGGTATGCACACATGAGAGCAGGTGTTGGCAAAGGCGAGACGTGTCTGATCATATAGGGCTGGAGATTCAGACATTGACGAGCAACCTGGTATAGATGTTGAAAACAGAACTTGGTTCCTCTGCAAGAACAGAAGATGCTTTAAGCCACTGAGCCATTTCTCCAGCCCCTAGTTTTCACTTTGTAGATTCAAGTTAGCCCTATCATTGATTCTCCACAGTTTCCCCGGCATGCTCCCCATTACATGAAACTAGTATCTTAATACAGGTTAAATTGCCCACATTTGGAGTGCTTGAAGCAGAAGTGTTTCAGATCTGTGTATGTAACGAGGCATCTCTGAGTTGAAATCCAAAAAGAAAGACAAAGTTCGTGTGTTTTGTATATGCATTACACACATGTCCTAAAGGTGATTTTATACAACATTTTTAAATAATTTTATGCATGAATGAGAGTTCTGTGCTGTAGAATTGTCCACGTGCTGGTAACCATGAAGCTATGGCTTGTGGAGCATCCTGTGGAACAGCTGGAAAGATGCTCAGTTGGTGAAATGCCTGCTGCCCAAGTGTGAGGACCGAGTTCAAGCTCCCAGCACCCGTGTAAAAGTTAGGTATAGCAGTGCACCCCTGACACCCCAGCTTTGGGTAGAGGAAGCCATGTCTGTAGACAAAAGGACACCTGGAGCTCAATGGCCAGCCAGGCTAGCCCAACTGAGGAGTCCTGGGATCAGTGAGCTATTGCTCTCAAAAGTTAAGGTGGGGAATGATGGAGGGAGATAGCTGATATGGAAATCCAGACTCCATACGTGCAAACACATGGACACATGCCTACACGAACACTTACATATAATGCACACATAAAGGATAAAGCAATCGTCCTTCTGAGATAAGATTGGACACGATGTCCATGGTTGAAGCTGGGGTAGCACGCATCAGCTTCCTTACTCTCTCAGCCTTTGTACGGGTTTGAAATCATTCATGATTGAGAAAAAGTTGTTGAGTCGTTTGTATTTTTTTGTATTTACCATGTCATCCAAGTGAGATCATGCACTAAAATGTGAAACAGCCGAGAGCATCCCACTCAAGGCACTGGTCGTCACCATAGGCTCTGAACTCTGGAGAGCAAGTGGCCAGACTGCTAAGGATAATGGCCGAAAGGGCATTCCCTGCTGGTGACCACTAACATCTTTTCCTTAAGATACAGGGGCCCCAAGGCCCAAGGCAAAAGTACAAGGGTCCCAAAGGCTGTAGAGGCTAGAAAGTCTGTCATTTTCTCCAGGAACCCAGTTCCTGTCTCCCCTTCACCTCTCAGAAGGCCTGCAGCCCCCTCAGTCTCTTCCTGTCACCAGGATAGCCCAAACTCACATCATTCTCCGAGGTCCCACACAGGATACAGGATTTGCACTCGATGCACTGCCATTTGTAGGTCTTAACCGCCTCGGTCATGTTCAGGGTAAACTGCAGGCAAGTTGGGTGACCTGAAAGAAGCCAGAGCAACAGTGTTAGGACAATGCCAGTGTGTAGAGAGGCAGGGGGATCACAGGCTGGGGAACAAACTGAGAGTCTGGGGGGCTCGACTCAGTTCTTACCACTACCACCTCCAGTCACGTCAGATAGAAGCCAAATGGAGAGACGGGCATTCACCCTCTTACTAAGTACCATCCAATTTTTCTTACCCTAAGAGCCATGCCCCCCATAGGTATAACAAGTAGAGCAGAAAACTGTAACCAGAAAGTGCTAAAAAGGGTGTTGTTATGGTGCACATAGTCCAAGGCAGCCTGGTAGGAAATATCAATCAGCATTACCCAGATGAAGCCAGAACAGGATGACTTATCAGAGCTACTTAGAGCTAGGACCTCCTGTTCATACCGCCTGAGTATGTCAGGATCATATAAGGTTAGCAGGGAGAGCACTGAGGGGCAATCGATGGCATTTTGTGGTTACCTTGAGTATCTAGGCCCACAATCAAGAGATGGGCAAAAGCCCAAACCCTGAACAGTCATGGGGACACAAGAAGAAAAAGATCTGGCAGGGAAGGCAAGGGAATGACTATCCCAGCAAATGACCAGGTATGTTCTAAAAAAAACCTCCATCTCTGCTTCTACCTCTGTTCTGCATCTCAAGTGTCATAGCTGGATTGGGAAAGGAACTTTAAGCTGTGACCATAGATCACAAACACTGAAGGAATACCTGAGGCTTGACCCACCAATCAGACTCCATCAACCCCCCTGAGTCTGAAGGGCAACAGTGAGTGGACAGCTGGGAGCTACAGAAAGGGCAGACTCTTGAGCTTCTCATTGTCATGGAAGAGAAACTGGACGGGGTTCCCAGGTTTCCCAGTTCTGTCCTGGATGGACAGAGCTCAGCACTGACTCTGCTGTAAAGAAGCAGCAGCTTAGCCCAGGGCCTTCATCCTTCCCCAGAGTTCCCTCTGCACAGAGCGTTGTGCTGCCTCTTTCATGTGAGGGATTTTGTCCTTTCAAGGACACTATAAACAGGGGGCAACAATCACAGTCAGCATCACTCACCAAGTGTGCTCACAGATAGACTTCTAAGTGTCGTCCCTGCCCCTGAGCAGAGCCACATCCCAGCAGGAACCCCATGGTTCCCATCTGAATCTTTGGAGAGCCCATCAGACCATGCTCATTTGGGTGAAATAGTGCATAAGTCCAACAGCTTAAGGGCCTACCAGATTTGGGGCTCCCTAAATATAAACCACACTGAGGTTCCTGAGTGTTAGCACTGGAGGAGAAATAGCCAGTGGTATGGGGACAGGGCAAGGAGAAGAGGCCAGAACAAAGCCTTAAATGAACACCCTGCACAAATATCCCATTGATTTTCTGGAATACACCTTACAGTGCTAGCTGAAGAGAATACAACCCAAGCCGTTCCCTATGCTAACCTCCTAGAGTGAAAAAGAATGGGAATAAGAACACATTTTCAGCTGAGGACTCCGCAGTAAGGGCTACAAGTGCCCAGGTTCTCTGACAGGACATTGCTGGAAAGGATGGAATTGAAACCCTAGGACATACACCCACCTGGCAAGGTGGCTTTGTCCAGTTTCCCGGCCTTGGGTCAGACCTCAGCCATAAACAGCCAGTTTACACTAAGTGGTCATTAACTCTGCAACTGTTTCGTGAGCAGCTGCTAAGCTGGCTGCTATACTAGATAGAAAAGATACTGCATGAGCAAAACACCCTAAGTAAGCCCTCCAAAAAGTAAGACCTCAAATTACTAAACCTGCGTGCATCCCTTTAATCACTATTGGGTGACTAACACTATAAAACGAAACTGCATTGGGGAAGAAAACCAATGGGAGCGCCTAGCCAGGGAGGTCAAGGAAATTCTCCTGCAAATGTTAACTGGGTGGGAAGGGGAGATGGAGCCAGGTAAAGGGACTGGTGTATGCAGGCTCTGAGCAACAATGACCTTTGCAAACTAGAAGGAAGAGAAAGACCAATGAACACGAGTGTAGGCTTCTTTGTAAAATGAGGGGGCAGGAAGCCACCATGGAGACACTGATGCCATACTAAATAGTCACTTAGAGCCCTTATTTAAGCATTTGGGCCTATAAAGTCATTGAGGATTTTCAAGCAGAACAGAGGCCAGATGACTGTTTCTTAAGAAGCATTCTTAGGCATAGAGGTCCTTGACACGGAGAATGCAGCTTTGGATGCTGGCAGTTACCTGTGTGATAAGATGACACAGAACTACACAGAGGGACTCATGAAACATTCACAGGTATGCGTAGGTACACAAACCTATGGGACAACAAAGCCCGCCAAGGGCCTAGGATCACAATAGCTTTGCTGTCGTATGTGGGTGTCTAAGATGGTCATCGCTGGGGGAAAGGCATCTGGAATCACTATCAATTCATACAAACAAATAATTACTTCCAAACAGATAGAAAGATCTTTTAAAATAAGAATATACAAATGAAGATGCTCATCATTGGGAAGAAGTGGGAGTGGGAGTGGGAGAGAGGGCCCGGAAAGAATTTGCAGTGAGGCTGAGGAGATGCAAGAATTCTTGCCAGGATTGGTTAGAGACTGGTGCAGCCCGAAGAAGAGAGACAAGGAGGACTAGGCTCAGGTAAAAACCTGAGAAAACACCAAATAAGTGATGGGAATTGACTCATTGGCTAAATAACCTCACATATCTGAATGAAGGAATTAGGTAGAGGGTAGTGACGTCTCCTGGGATGAGAAATACCATAGGAAGAGTGTGTGGCTGACCTGGTGAAGAGGATCATGTGGCTGTCCTGGTGAAGAGGATCCAATCTGTTCTGAGCAGTGCAAGTTGGATCAGAGAGTTGAACATACTGTTGAGAGCTCAAAAGACAAGTAGAGATTTGAAATAGAAACTTAGGCCAGGCGTAATGGCACACCTTTAATCCCAGCACTCCAGGGCCAGTGGCAGGCGGGTCTCTCTGAGCTCTAGGCCAGCCAAGGCTACCTAGAGACATTGTCTAAAAAACCTTAAGATTGATTTTTGCTAACTAGATGTTAATTTAAAAATATGAGAATCAATAAAAGTAGGGAAATGAGGACAAGAGAAGAAAGAAAAGAGAAGAAAGGGGAAGAGTTTTTTTTTAATATCTAGGACTAAGCTTTGAGGAATCATCTATTTAAAGATAGAAGAGCTGGGCATGGAAGACGCTCCTATAAATCTCAGCACCAGGGAGCCTAGAGCAAGAGGGCAGAGTGTTCCAGGCCAGCCTAGGCTACAGAGTGAGACCCTAGCTTAAAAATAAAATAGAAACAACGATGGCAAAAGAACCAGTAAAGGAATCAGAAGAAACAAGTTGGGCAAGTCCGGAGTGACCGTAGCCAAAAGAAGAGATTTCCAAAATGGGTCAGCGGTGTGACACTGCCGATTTGTCATTGTTCTATAAAGACCCTGAAAGAGGGAGTATTATCTATGGCCGTACCGTCCTGAATGTGCCCAATCTTGTCTGAATGAGGGAGTGTTGACAGATCAGCACAAATGTCGTCCTGCTAATAATAACATTGCTCGTGGTGCCATCTTCCCGAGGAAGGAAGGTCAGCACATTCCATGGCCTGGAACTCAGCTGGCAGCTGCACTGGAGCATCTGCCTGGGTGGGGCTGGGTGGGCTGTGTGGTCCACACGCCCACCACTGCAAATGCTAGTCAGCGGCCTATTCTATGGTCAAGTTCTCCTACAGGCATGTCCAGTCTTTGACATTGAGACGTGATATTGTCATCTACAAGTTCGGACTTGAGAACTGCATGATTGTGTTGCATAATAATAATATCTTGACAATCTCATAATGTTTTACAACTTTGTGTTAGAGGGACAGCTTAGAACCCAAGACACTGTTCAAATGAGAGAGGAAATGGGGGATAGGAATGTTCTTACAACTTCTCTACTAGAGAGGAAGAAGTGTAAAAAGTTTAGTAGCTATACAGATGGGACCAAAAACTAAGTCCAGAGTTAAGTTATCCGCCTGTGCCACCCCAGCAAGCTGGCCATTCTCCAGAACTAGAAGAAACACTTGTTATGTAAAACTTCAAGAATCCGACTTCTTATCTGCCACGGAAAGGACATAAGTGTGTACACTGCTGGATGAAAGGGAAAGCTTCTAAAGTAAGCACTAGAAGCGTGTCTCAAAGTCTCAGTGCTGGGACTGGTTTTGTCCAGAATTAATGCTCAAAGCCCACGTAAGTAAAGAGAAGCAGGTACAAATCTCTCCAGTCTGAGGGTAGAAGGGAAGAGGAGCACATCGCTGTTGTAAAGCACTTCACTGAGACCACTTCCTACGTGATCGCTCTTTTGTAAAGCTAACCACCATCTGTAAATGTACTTGCTTGCAAATTAAGAATTGTTTTCTTAATCTGTCACAAATTTCTTTTTATTTTATTTTTGCATGAGTGTTTCGCTGCATGTACGTATATGCACCATGTGTGTACAATGCCCTTGGAGGCCAGAAGAGGGCATCAGAACTGTGACCTGGAGTTACAGATGGTTGTGAGCCACCCAGTGGGTGCTGGGAACTGAACTCGGGTTCTCTTCAAGAGCAGTAAGTTCTCTTAACCACTATTCCATCTCTTCATCCCTCCATTTTTCTTAAAGCAAAGAATATCTATACTGCTATTTAGCTCAACGTATTGAAAGACAGTTTACTCAGGTTCCCTTGGGGCAATTGGTCAATGAGACAGTCCTAAGATTCCAGTTGCCAAAGATTTAGAAAGTGTTTGTCAGGTCTTTAGCTCAGTGGTAAGCTACATGCCTAGTGAATTCAAGAGCCTAGGTTTTCTACAGCACAGAAGAAGGGGAGAAGAGAGAGAGAGAGAGAGAGAGAGAGAGAGAGAGAGAGAGAGAGAGAGAGAGAGAGAAGGGAAAGGGGGAGGAGGAGGAGGAGGGAGAGAGAGGGAGGGAGGGAAGGAGGGAAGGAGGAAGAGGAGAAGGAAGGAAAATGGAGGAGAGATGGA